TATACTTCTCTTCAATTTCAGATACCAATAAAACCAAGAGCAATGAAATCACGAAGGACAAAGAACAAGTAGATAGAGGAGAGGATACACACAAACTATTTTTGCTGTAGGGGTTACAGTAAAACTTAGCTATCAGACGCGATACAGTAATTTATTGTAATTTAAATCAAAATTACAATATTTTGCTGTAAGTTATTTTAATTTTAATTTAAATTCAATAAAATTGTTTAAAAAAAAATTGAATGCGCTTTTGTATTTTAAAATGTTCGTTATAAAAGTAGATGAGTATGTACTCAAGGCTGAGTATGAGTATACCATGGGTCTTGATTTTAAATGCTTCAAAAACTATAGAAACAATAAACCATTTGAATTTGAGGTTAGAATATTGTTAGATTTTCTTCAGAAAAGATTACCTTTATCCAAAAATGAATCGACAGTAAGTTCTCCAATCGGAATATAAATCACTTTATTCGTATTTTGATATCGCACACGAACAATGTATTCAGAGAAAATTTCACTCATTTTAATTTTATTTGATAAACGATTTATTTGTTATGACGATGTCATTGCAAAGTGGATCGCGCCGGTTTTGAACTGTCAAATCATACATACAATACATGAGTAGTATATGTCATGTACTCATACTTATACTCATACTCAGCCTTGAGTACATACTCATCTACTTTTATAACGAACATTTTAAAATACAAAAGCGCATTCAATTTTTTTTAAAACAATTTTATTGAATTTAAATTAAAATTAAAATAACTTACAGCAAAATATTGTAATTTTGATTTAAATTACAATAAATTACTGTATCGCGTCTGATAGCTAAGTTTTACTGTAACCCCTACAGCAAAAATAGTTTGTGTGTACAAGTGACAAAATGACCTGTGATAAATTAAAAAATATATTAAGTGAATTTTCAATCGACATACTCGATCTTCAGTCATTAGCGGGCGATATTATTTTATTATATATTTTTTTATTTTTTAGTTCAAGAAGCGAACCGTATGTTACACGAGATGAACAATGTCGATTCAAAATTTGATTTCTTTATGGGATTTTTTTATGTATGATGAACTAATGGCGATTAATGGCGATTAATGATAAACACCGATACGAGTTTCACTATGATCATAAAAGATATTAATAAAACTTGCGATAATTGAAAATAAAAACCATTTTTTTTTCTTTTTTTTCGTACTTTTTACATATGTTTTGGTTAATGGATTCTCTCAAACTGTTGAGAATAACATGTGAAGAAAAAATTATGAACCTTTTTTGTACATGTAAACACCCACACACATACACAAAAAAATGACGTCACTACTCGAAAGCAGTGTCAACACTTGAACTATCAAAAATTTTATCCATTTGAAAAGCACTATCTTTGAACCACATATCGGTTTGAAGATGTGTATTCTTAGCCTCACTTCCATAATTGAGTAACTTCTCGATGTAACTTCTATAACTATAACGTGTGCTTGGTGGTTACGTTGCGCTGATTCAAAAATACATCTACTTGTGAAAACATTGAGTGCTAAAAATTGTTCACGGGTGCAACATTCTGATAAGGTGCGCTTTTATTAATTTTAACCATAAGATGTAATGTTGTGTGTGATAAATCTAGGTATTCTTCATTTGAAGGTGGAATAATGAATTCGATTGGAGAGCTAGCTGTTAAGGCAGAAACTGGTCTATAAGCTTGAATAGCTCCACTCTCTACGCTGCTCTGTGTTGGACGAACGGCAAATAAATCTAATTCAGATTTCACCGTTGGCGATTTATGTGAATTTATGTAAGCCATTATGAAAAAATATCTTGAATGTCCTGTTTACTTCTTGTAGTTTTTTTCTTCCTCTTTGTTGTTGCCTTTTTCTTTTTCTTCACTGTTTTTCGTTTTTTCGTCTTACGCTTTGTAACTTTTCTCGTCTTTCGCGTCCCAATGTTACGATTAAACTGTTGTGGTTTTATTCCTAAATTATGTATGTAACCGTTACCAAACATATGGTCAGAAACACGATTCGATATATTATTAATAAACTCTTTTCTCCTCTTTTTCTGTGCTTTTTCCAAATCTCCTGTTTTCCATACATCGCTAGCAATACCAACTCCGCTTTTGAGTAGCTCTTGTCCTAACGCTGTACCACCTTTCTTAACAATTGGAACTACAGCGCGAAACAATCCACTCAGAAATGATCCTATGAATAATGTAAAAAAAAAATTTTAAACCATTTTTTCATTGATTTTGTTTTTGTTTATATTGAAATTACCTATTCCCAGTCCGCGTTGATAAGCTGGAGAAGAATAGATATTACACGAACCAAGTGAATAGCGGCGACGCAAGAAATCGAAGTGAGTGAATAGCGGCAATGGATAACATCGTTCGTTGTCGCTATTCACTCACTTCGTCTTCTTGCGTCTCCGCTAATCACTTGATTCATTTGCAAGCGACTTACGCATGTTACGATGCGACGAAATATTGAAATCCTATTGAGAAAAAAGGCCTTTTCATAATACACAAACACAATTACTTGTGATCATTATTTAGCTGTCAGTTTATATGGACATATCTCACTTAATTAACATAACCAAAAAGTAAGGAAATTGAAAGTATCCTAAAAAGTTCAAGTTATTTAATTGAATTCAGACACGACTCACTCAGTAAAAATATGAATTCGAGCGATGACTCCAATTTGAACATTACGAATGATCTTTTAAGATCTTTCAAAGAGTATAGTTGTTCGGATTTGGATAGCAGTGGCTCATGTAACATACATATAGAAAATAATCATCCATTAACGAAAGCCGTAAATACAGTGATGGAACATAAGGCCAAGTTTTTTACCACACTAAAAAGTGCTACACATATTAGTGATATATTAAATAATATACCAAATGCAACTGTTCAAATTCCTACAAACACACAAGCTCTGAAAAAGAAGGCCAACATGCGTTTTAGTAGAAAATTTGTTTTATTTTGCGATGTTTGCAAAGACTTTTGTGATGATGGTGGCTGGTGCGTTAGATGTGAAATGAAAACAAAAAAAAAGAAATCGAATTTTATGGTCACGATTCCACTTGAACAACAAATTAAAAATTCGCTAAATAAAAACTTTGAACTAATAATTGATTATTTGAATCGACCAAAAAAAATGGATTGATATCTGACATTGACGATGCTGCACTGTACAAAGAGATATGTGATAAAAATGAACGTGATATTATTTTATCTTTTACTTTAAATACCGACGGTGCGCAACCATATAAAAGTCAAAATAAAATGTCTTACATCCGTAAGATGAACTTTTCCGCACTGTGATCCACAACCTGCATTTATTACAAATCCTTTACTCAAAGAATTTACGAGAAAACTGAATCTGACATTAGTTTTACGATAAAAAGTAAAATGGGAATATTTGTATCGGAGCCATGCCTATATGATATCGTAATCATTTGAAAATTAGCAGAGGTTATTTTTTTCACAAAAAGTTAACATTCTGAAAGTTTGAAGAAAGGAGCTCTTAGATAATAGTAAATTTGTAATTTGACTGTTTATCAATAGATGGCGACACATAAAATAGCAACTTCGAAACAGATACGCATTTCCTATATGGACACTCGCCCAAATGTCGGACTATTTGTTTGAATTTTCAACTTCAATTTAATATTTAACACTTTTGATTTCATCTAAAAATATCATTCTATACACAATTCTATGCAGAATTTAATTGTGCTTCATTTCACAATTGTCAAAAGAAAGAAATTTCCAAAAATATATTATTATTTTCCATTTTTCCGTCGTAACAATGATCCAAATACATACATAACTGTCACATCTGTCAAATCAAAAGTGTTTCACTTGAAATGTTCGGCGCTTTATGCGGCTTTATGTGTCGGCAATTGGACTATTTATTCCGGAATAATATTACAGTGAAAAATGGAACATAAATATAATTGTTTTTCTTTATATTTTCAATATTTCTGTTCAATAACTAAATTAAATTATCTACAATTCGCAGATATCATTTTTTTTCAAAGTAGTTATTTTTTTATACCAAAAAATGCATTTTACCGGCTCGTCTAAAAATGATATAGTTTAACTTTTGAAAGCAATAATAGATTTTTGATGAATATTTGGATTATTATATATAGATTTGATATTGATCATTCATAATTTGTTTTTAAAAATGCAATTAAAACGAATTTTCGATTTTTAATTTCAATTCACCTATCGGTATTCCGACATTTGGTCGTGTGTCGACATTTGGCAATCTACTGTACTTATCGTAAAAAATGTTATAAAAAATCGCGTGCTGAGAAAAAATAAATATTTGTCTATTATACCCAGTGTATAATAATTATTGTTACTATTTTTCTCAGCACGCGATTTTTTATTACATTTTTTACGATAAGTATAGGAAATGCGTATTTGTTTCGAAGTTGCTATTTTATGTGTCGCCATCTATTGGTAAATAGTTGGAACTACTTTCTTACTAAAGTGTCATACAATTGCTAAGAGACCCTTTCAATGCATATTACTTTTCATACAAAATTTCGTTTTTGAGCGAAAAATCCAAAATTTTGTTCGGGAGGTACCCCTAATATGCGTTGAAATGTCTTCAAACTCTCGAAATGGTATTTTTTGTTATAAAAATAACCTGTGCAAAGTTTCAGCTACGATATCATACAGACATTAATTTCATACATAAATTCAATTTTTTGAAATTTTTGTATGAAAAGTGTGTCGAAAGTTATTTGTATCGCAAAACCAACGTCATATTCGGTTTTCTCATACCCAAAAACCCCCCCAATACACATTTTTGAGTGTTTAAGTATACATTAAATATCACTTTTGGAAGAAAAAAATAATATAAATTGATAATTGCATCGATCATAATAATCATATTGAAATTTATTAATAATTTTTGTAAAAGAGTCAAGTTAAGTCAAAGTCTCGGCAAAGTCAAGTAAAGTAATGTGTTGAATGTGCCGAAATGTACGCACATCGAACTGTTCGCTTCATGAAAGATGAAAATGTGGGAAATTTTATACAAAATTTGCTTGAAAGTGACGAAAACAATGAAATTGGCATTGTCAAGGTAAGTAAAATTGAAAATTTTATTATTATTTTCCATTGTGTATCCATTGTAAAGGTCGTTCCTGAATATGAAGTGAAGACAAAGAGTTTGGGTGTTTTTTATGAAATTCCATCGGCGCATCGCCAATACGTTGAGAAAATCGGAACGAATGACGCTTGTGTATTTGAAATGTCGTTTGTGAACGTGTACCCGAAAAACGTGCACGATTTCATCTTAGAATCCAAATTTATTGGAATCCCCAGAGGCTCAGCTACAATCGAAGATGGCGCTTGGAAAGATCTTCAAAAACGCAGCCAAAAGAAATGCCGTGCCTCCAACAAACAGCCGGTCTACGCAATTAACATTCGCGACACATTGTTCCATGAGGATGAACCTTGGAATTTCAACAATTTTGGCCCTTCACATTCAATAATCCATGGACAGAAGCAAAATCTTATGAATGGAATACAAAATTCATATATCAACATAGGAATGTTGTACACATGATTTTGCTTACACTGTGAAGATAGTAATCTCGCATCGGCTAACTATCTGCACAGCGGTGAACCCCAGTGTTTGGTTAAGATATCTGAAATGTATCTAGATACTTTTGAGATAGTATCTCAATTTTCCGAAATTCATCTAGATATTTTCAAGATTTTCATCTTATCTTTTTGATAAAAGATAAGATATCTTTCGAAAAGATAAGATAAAAAAAAAGATAACGAAAATTATTTGAATAAAATTTTGAAAAATGTCAAGGTGAAAAAAAAAGAATGTTAATTAATATCTGCTATAAACAAACTTCACGCACTGTGGATATTAATCGGTCCGGGTAATCGGGCCCATGAATCGTGCGTTGAAGTTGTCGGATGTGTTCTGCGAACACCGTGCGTAACACGATGGAATTCCAAATTCGATTTTATCGAAAAATCGTAGTTTCAAAAGCATTACTGTGCACTATTTATCGTCCTATCAGAGGGAATCGTTCGTTTTAGCTTTTCGACAGATATATGGCAAAAATCATACGATGCTTTGATCAAAATATTTATAAACGCCTTTAAAAAATATGATCTGGCAGTTCACAAAATAACACATATTGTTACGGATGGTGGAAGCACCTTTTTCAAAGCGTTTCGAGTTTATGCCATTTATGCAATGCGAAGGTGAATTTCTCGAAATTTATCGAATGCAATCAACTTGATTTCAATGGGCGTGCAATGGAATTTGATAACGAAGAATTCGAATATAATTTTGACGAATCGGGTCATGAAATTGATTATTTTCGCTACCGACAATTGATGAATTTTTTTTAAATAAATGACCAAAATATCTTATTATTTATCTTAAAAAATAAAGATAAGAACCAAAAAAATCCAAAAGATAAGATAAAGATAAGATGATTTTTTAAGTTTCTAAAATCATCTAGATAAGATAAAAGATAGTATCTATCTTATCTTAGATAGTATCTATCTTATCTTATCTTACTATCTCAAACGAGATAAGATATCTTTACCAATCACTGGTGAACCCAAACATTGGATTTGTGTCCCGAAGTCAGAAGAACCGAAATTGCAGAAAATTATTATCGATTTGCTCAACTCGAAATATGATTACAGTTGCGAAACAGTTTACCGTCACAAGTGTTTCCTCGTTGATGAAAATTTGCTGTTGAAACATCATATCAAATATACGAAACTTATACAATATCCTGGAGAGTTTATCTTCACTTTATATGGCGCATTTCACTGGGGATGGAACGCTGGTTTTAACGTATGCGAATCAATGAATCTAGCATCGCCGAAGTTCAAAAAAATCTACGAAGAAGTATCGCTTTGTAAAGCCACCTGTGAATATAGCGCGATGCCAATTCCAGTTCATCAAAAGCTTGGCAAATTATTGCAACAAGCTAATGAGTAAGTAATCTGAAATTATCACCCAATATCGTATTGAAATTCATCACGAAACATTTTTCTTTCATCGACAATTAGGTCACAAATGCTAACTCTGCCGCCGCCGTCGCTTCAGCTGAGCGATACTGATTTTGCCACCAATCCAAATGATATGATGGTCATCGAAAAATCCACTCACAACATCACCGGAGCCGACATGCTTCTCACAATGAATGTCATCGATTACTCACAGACACATTTTGTGTATGCATTACATCAGATGATCTCGAAGTTAATTCGATCGGATTATCGTCTAGGTCATTAGGCGAATAAATTTCGATTTGGTCATTTATTGTCACAGACAAACGACGCGATTTCCTTCGTTGCTCTTTCTGTGAATGTGAACCAATGAATGTGTGAGTACGTTTTAATATGCCCTTTGGTCGAACAAACTGATTGAATGAGGAATCAATGGTGGTTTCCAATTCTGTGATAAAAATGATAATATTATACATTCGATTAACTTATATGTGTCCATATGTGTCAATATTTGAAGCATACTCAGACATTTACCTGGAGACTTTAGTTCAATCGTATTCGCATGCAGCTTATCTTGCTGGTCAGACTGTGGTGTGGATAGACTCTCGCACAATACTTAAAAAAATTTTTTTATTAAAAATGAAGGAAACAACATATTTAGTTCGATTTGGCTACTGATGAATTCATAGCCGTTAAAGCGCGTTAAAGTTAGAATAGTACAAAGAACATCAAAGAAGCCGATAGAATTGTAATTAATTGACGAATCAACAATTTTGATTGAACAGATCTGAAAACAAATATGTATATGCGTGTACGTGCGTGTATATGAATTATTCACCTGTTTGATGTATAATGGCAGTGTTTCTATTTGTCCCATATTGCTGGTTGGATGATTCGCACATTTGTGAAGATGATTTATCAGCTGGAAGCGAAGGTGATTCAATCGGTACATTGTGATCATTTTGCGTTACTGACAAACGACACACTTTTTTTGGTTGTTCTTTTTGAGAACTTTCTGAATTTTTCTTTTTCAAATTATTCATGGCGCTTTTTCTCTCTTTTGTTAACTCATGTCAAAAAATGTCCGAAAATTGTCGATTGGATTTTTTTTCAATGAAAAAAAAAACCAGTCGATTCCAGTCACTTTGTGTTGGTTTGAAAATTGCTTGGATTTTGTACAATTTTTTTTTTTCATTTTTTTTGACACGGGAACAGAGATTTCCTATCGTAGAGCTCTGTTTAAATTTATATTCAATGTAACAAAATTAAAAGTTTCAACAAACCTGATTTATATACTTCTTACAAACTAGAAAAACTGTCGAAGCACGCGTTCGGTACCTGTATAAATTACTAATGGTTGCTAATGATATTGTTCTTGTTCAGTTCAAAAGAAGTTTGACGTTTAACCAATTGAAAAGGAATGAAACGGAATGAAGTTTTAGAGCTACGACTACAGTTAAAATGACAGCCATTACTGTCATCCATTTGAAACGCATTTAATGTTTATTTTTCATACATTTATTGTTGATGGTAATAAAAAAAATTATTTTGGTAAATAAAATCGTTTTAGTTAAAAATGGCTTTATGTCCTCCGTGTAATGGTTTTTCAAATGTGAAGTTTTACGAATCGCCAGAAACATTGGAAAATTTTGATGAATTGCAAAAATGGCTGAATTATTTTTGTAAAACGGTAAGTCTAGAACATAAACTTCATCATTAAATATACGAGTTTTCATTTTTTAAAAATGTCAGAAAACACCCAATGTTTCCACCTATTTGATAAAATGTTGATTGGTAATTCTTTTGTATTTTCTTGGGTTAATAGCATGTTCAATCAAGTCCACCGACAAAGGAATCACTGTCAGATCTATTAATTTCGTTCATTCGATTTCAAGAGACGAAACTTGGCAAATTGTCGTCGGACCCACCAACAATGCGTTTAACAATGCGGTGTTTTTTGGATTTTAAGCTAGATGGGCATTTATGCCATGTTTTTGCAAAAATGTATCGCTACAAATATGAACAAAAGTGGCACAAATTGGATTTCAATGTAACCGAGACAGCATATCAAGACCAATACATACAAATGTCAAAGGAAATATACGAAAAGTTAATTGATCATAAATTTTTCCGTTTGCCAACTATATACATTCGGCCGGAAATTAACGACAATATGCGTAAGCGAATCAATGATAGTTTGAAAAACCTTCGATGTGAAATCACTACAGAGGAGGATGAAGCAACACACATTATCTATCCAGAAATTGATCGTTTAGAAAATCATGCACGACCGTGGTTTAAAAGAGGGGGACATATCATGGTACATTGGTGTTATCTGTCACCATCATATAATATGTGAATTTAAAACACACTTGATTTGCCATCCGATATTCTGGTAAGTATCATAAATGGTAATATTTTTTGCAACAAGTGTTGTGCGAGTACCGCAAATGTTAATCAGAAAATGCCAATACTTGAATTTGTTTTAATTTTAGGGTGGCATATCCGAATCACTAGGTGAATCAAAAGTGTACAACGAGTGGATGGATGAGAAGGACTACGAAGTCAACGAGAACGGCGATAAGATCATTCATCCAAATCAACTCACTGTTGGAGAGTATTTCAATGAATTTGTAAAGCGCACAGCCAAAACACAATTGAAGTCTAGTCAGTCTACAGTTCCAGCTCGGCCTCTCTCTACTATTAAAGTAAGGAAACTCCCGACAACATGCTGTCCTGATTGTGGAAAAAATATTGTTACGAAGGTACTGAAGCGACATCAGAGGGAAAAACATGGAATCGATGCGAAAAAATTTGAATGTCCAATATGTCCGGCGAAAGGTTTGACGTTTGTAACTACAAGAGAAAGAAGCCTGCTTGACCACCATAGACGCCAACATTTTGAACCCATCAAAAGGGGGCGAAAAAGAAAGAAAGAACATTTTACCAATGAACTGCACCGGGAGCGTAGCCCGTTTCGAATGGATACGTACCAAAAATACCACAAACGTTCTCTAGAAACAATGGAAATGAATAAACAATTGCAAGATAAAATGCATGAAACTTTACAATTAAATATCAAACATCGCGAAAAATTGAATGAAATTGAGAAAAAATTTAGCCAAACAGAAACTTATAACACGAAAAATGAGCTACGTTTGGAAGCCTCAGAAGAATGCAAAAAGGAAACCTATATCGAAGCATGTAAGGTTAAGACTCACGTATCAATAATTGAGAGCAAACAAAATACTAGCCAATTTGAAAGTGCCTTACCAAACATTAAAGACATTCCATCAGTTCTCCGTTATTTTAGTCTTACCAAAAACTGCACGAAAGAGGACATACGGAAAACAATAAATTTACGTTTAATGGAATCAGGTCCCGAATCACTAGTGAGTGGGGAAATATTTTCATCGAGCAACATGACGCATGAAAAAAGACAAGAGATTACAATGTTTTGAAATAAGGCGAGCGAAGTGCTACTGAGGTGGCGGAAGAAAACCGATAATCCGTCAAATCAATGAAACACAACAATTTTTGACAGTTTTTTAATGCATTTCATTTAATCTTTCTAATTTTGTTAAATATATATATACATATTATGGACCTCTTAATAAATAAAGGTAAAAAAAAATCCACGAATATTGAAGTTTTTAAAATCAAGTTAAAACGGTAACCATCTAGGGTAGGGTATAATGACGAAATAGGCAAAATAAACTTTTCATGGCCACCAGCAATTGTGTGGAACCGAATGGAACCAAATATTTTTATATAGGATTCTTATATGGAAACCAAAACATTTTACATTTGGTTCTAATGTAAAATGTTTTGGTTCCTATCTAAGAATCTTATATAAAAATATTTGGTTCCATGCGGATCCACACAAAAACCACTAGCACCAAGTTTATAAATATGCAGTATTTCATGGAAAAGTCTTCATCTATAGCATATTGGTCAAGTATTTGATTAACATCTGTCTTACTCGTTTTGATTGCTGGCTTATTTTAAGTTTGACTTGCAAATGTTGTTGTATTTGTGAAGTGATTTTTTTTGTTTCTGTTAATTGAGATATCATATCATAGATTTATGGTTGATTAAGTACCTACTTGCGCTTGTATTTTGGTTTTCGCGTTTGTTTGATTGCTTTTGATTTTCTGAAGATATATCTCCAATAAACTAAAATAAAATTCCTTTCACTGCTTCAATATTCATAAGAGTTGAAGTCAATAAATGACGATCACGATTGAACTTTATATTTAATTGAACGCTCTAGAATAAAAACAACTTATTGTTTACTCGCATATCGAAACGGAACTCAAAACGGGTGCATATCAAAGCGAGACAATATTTAGTTATCATAGGAATAGAGAACATTGGCTTTTTATTATGCGAAATATGTAAGTTTCATTTTGTGCTGATAACTAGCTACTGTTCTGCCTTGTTTTAGTAACAGAATTTTGTTTCGCTTTGATATGCGACGCAGTTTAACGGTATAAATACTTCACACTCTCGAAGGCTCGGTATAGAACACACAAAAAGTGAAAAAAAAAACTTCTTATTCTCAAATTTCATAAACAATCAAATGGATTGTATCAGCAATTTTTATTGCCCAGTTGTGTGTCAATAGAACGTTGTTTGTAAATACAATGCCATGCATTGAGAAATAACATGTAAGGGTGAGTTAGATAGTATTGAACAACGATTTAGGTGACAGAAATAGCAAATTTTTACAATCAGTCGCACCAGATGATATAGGTATACAGACGTTTTGATTGAAAAGAATTGAAAATTGTGATTAAAATGCAAAAAAATTGAATTTTCCACAAAAAAATTGGAAAATTCATTATAAAGACTTGTTTAACTCCACTAAATGTCTTCAAAATTATTGTGCTACCGAATTGCTAGAGTTATACAGGCATATTGTATATTTCACGGCAATATGAACGTCTAAAATGCGTAAATACATACCTTTTTTGTATATATACGTATATTTCGATGAGGTCACCACTTGGTCTTTTGCAATGTGTTATTCGGGTTCTGTTCTGATCTACCCTCACTTGCTTTCTATATCACCTGTATATTTTTTTTGAGCTTCACGTTCCGAGCGACATCTCTATGTGCTTGGCATTGAACTCGCGATCCAAACGAGCACCAAAGGCAATTAAAACATTTTTTTTTTTGGTGCGAAAAAGTCAAAAATGTCAACTGATTTTGTGTGAAGAAAAACCATGTGATATGCAACGTCCTCGCAGTTAATTTCGATGACACAAACTGTGCAAAGTAATT